ATATATGTTTCGTTACGCAGACAGTTTTCTGTAAGGAAAACAGTTCGAACGGGGTGGTGGGCGTTTTTCAAGGAAGCGCGTAAAAATGTCTGATCGGATGGTATATTCTACTGCGAGACGCGAACCTTCGCGCGAGTTCTACGGAAAAATTGCGTGACTTTGAGATGCCAATGTTTTGACAGAGATTAATGATAGGACTGCGGATTTGAGATTGTTTTGATGTAGGTTAGAAAGTGAATAATTCATGGAAACGTAATTATCGAAGTTGTCAACTATATTGTCGCATTGACTTGGGAAAAGCTGACGAGGAAATTGGAAATTTAGAAACGTATCACTAAATATTATTTCATCAAGAAACCTTGCCCCTCATAACTCCTAAACCATAAAAATCTGAAAAATATTTCACACGCGTTCTATAGGGGCCAAGGTCAACGCTCGTCGTAAGTTTGTCCAAGATCAAATTAACTGTTCTTGAATCGTACAATATACAACCGATCTTTCCTCGTAAAAAAGTCAGTCGAAGAGCGAACATATCTTTACGGAAGACACGGTCCATCAATTTCACGGAACGCACCAATAAAACGTGTCTAACGAAGCACCTGTATTCTCAAACAATGATATGGAGGTTGGTGCAACGGAGAAGGGAATTGCATCGATCAACGATAAATTATGGCTACACGAGGCAGCGACATCAACTCCACCGACAATGACCGTCGTTACATTGAATGCAATTAACATCCGATTCTCTTTCTTTGTCTACTTCGTTCGGGTAGCGGTGCGTTGAGCATAGGTACCAATCTCGTGCCTTCGTTTCCACCATCTTGACACAGATACTCTCCCCGTTTGCGTTTCTGCTTATCATGGATCGAAGCGAAGGTCCTTCGACATGCTTCGTTCAATTTAATCGTTCTGCAACACACCGTGTGTCGGTCTCCTTTCATTCTTTATTTTTCAACTTCCATAAGCGTCTTCGTCAAATGGGACTGTGTGGATGCCTACCGCTCTTGGAACGAGGCAGATGCGGCACTTGCTTCGGGTACTATTCAAGGCTCTTACAGTTAAATAACTAAATTTGCAAATTAAGAAGTTTACATATGTTAGAATCATTCGCGTAGTAATACAACGCGTGGCAATATAACACGAGGCAATATATTGAATTTGGGGAATTTTCAATTTGAGGAATTTCACATTTGGGAATTTGGGATTTGTGGGATTTGGGGAATTTGGGATTTGGGGAATTTGGGATTTGGGGAATTTGGGATTTGGGGAATTTGGGATTTGGGGAATTTGGGATTTGGGGAATTTGGGATTTGGGGAATTTGGGATTTGGGGAATTTGGGATTTGGGGAATTTGGGATTTGGGGAATTTGGGATTTGGGGAATTTTGGATTTGGGGAATTTGAGATTTGAAGAATTTGGAATTTGGGATTTGGGGAATTTGGGATTTGGGGAATTTGGGATTTGGGGAATTTGGGATTTGGGGAATTTGGGATTTGGGGAATTTGGGATTTTGGGAATTCGGGATTTGGGGAATTTGGGATTTGAGGAATTGGGAACTTGAAATCTAGGGAATTCGGGATTTGGGGTATTTGAGATCTAAGGAATTTGGGATTTGGGGAATTTGAGATCTAGGAAATTTGGGATCTGGGAAATTTTTGAATATGGGGAAATTTTGATCTGAGGGATTTTGGGATCTAGAGAATTTTGGATTTGGGAAATTTGAGATTTGGGGAATTTGGAGAATTTAGTACTTGAAATGGTTGGAATCTGGAGAATTTTAGAAATTTGGGATTTAAAGAAATCGAAATTTAGGGAATTTTTAAGAATTTGGATTTGGAGAATTTGGTATTGGAGGAATTCAAGATTTAGAGAATCTAAGGTATGTCAATCTTAAAATTTAGGGAATTTCAAAATTAGGGAATTCGAAAGTTCTAGGATTGATAGACTTGGAAATATACAATTAACATCAAAAACGTTCAGAAAGAGGGCTTTCAGATTCGAAAGTTTAGAAACAAATGTAATTTAGAAACAAATTCGAAAGTTAGGTTCAAATGTACACGAATTTCTTCAAAACTTTTTCAGCTATATTTCGAACGCGTAGCCGCCCATTCTCATTCTTAAATCGATTCATTGCGTTAGTTTCCATGACGCAGTGATTTAATTAGATTGCGTCAATTGCCGTGGTCATCCAGGACACGAAATCAAATGTATCGCAGCCATGATGTACATATTTGCTGTACCTAAGATTACATCAGGTCGGGGCGACACCATTGTGTCTTATCAGCACATATTCCTGATAATAACGAGCGAGTTCTTACCCGGTTCCAATTAATGAATTTAATCCAAAACAGTCTTACACAATATTACGTTTCGAATAAGTAGAAAATATCAGAACATCAACAAAATTTGAATTTCTCTATTAAAATAACTAATTTCTCTATTAAAATGACTAGTGTCATAAATCCGTAAATGTACATATTAACAACGCTAAAGTAACGTCTCAATTTTTTCGTATTTTTCCGAAATCGATCGAGATTCACCGGAATCGCACTCAGACCCTATCTGTCGGACCCGATCTCTCGGAATCGATGCAACTTCGAAGGTGGATTAAAAAAAGTCGATCGATTTCCAAGTTAAATTCAACATCGTGCGACTAACGCAAGAACGAACGCGACACACGTTCGCAGCGCAGATGGTGCTCAAATAAATCCGTGCTGATCGATCTGCAGTGTCAATGGCCGATGCGGTGCTCGAGCGGCCAAGATGCGAAACTGTTCTATACTCCTCGAAGAATTGCTCGGGGATTACCAACCATTCGATATAGCTGGTGATGCAAGCGGAAGAACAAGGATTTTTTACGTAAGAACTAGTCAAAAATAGGCGTATATCAAAACAATAAACGTTGGACTTATATCTCGTCTTTTACCATTTACCTTTATCACCGTCTTTCACCCTTTAAGAATTACACGACAGGATTGTGAACGAGATTTAATCGTGAGTTCATGTATTTTATGTTATATGAATTATCCGCTGTTCACAAGATAAAATGCACTTCGATTTTTTTGATGAAATATTTAACTTTATTTTATTGAAAATATTCGGTTTCATTTGAGACACACTATGTACACGACACGTTGTATACACCATGTCCCCGGTCTATTCTTGATCTCCCGTAAGTGTTTATGACCCAACGTGCTGACACACTCGTGAAAGTCACTCGTTACGAGCTTCTGAACGAGCAGCTTGAATAATACGCGTAAACGTCACTCCCCTTGACAACAGAAGTCACGAATATCAATGTAACTCACGCCTGTGTCTTGTTCCTTTGAAAACCGCTGTCCTTCGTTAGTCCACTACCATAATGCAATAAAAGTCAAGGTGTATGGCGTTCTTTTTATTTCTTTTCACCTCCATAAGGTATACAAAAAGAACGTGATTGCTTCATCTATGGAGCTTTTAGAAAGTTATCTCTAGATGTTAACATCATGCGTTAAATAATAAAGGTTGTATAAGATTACGATCATAATCACTTGTGATTAATTTATGATTACTTTATAATTATTCAACGATGTATCAGAATTGGTAATACAAATGTATTAATCAATCATAATGTGTTGACTACCGTGGGATCAGCGATATCTCAAATATTATATAATAAATAATTAAAAAAGAATATGTATAATATAATACCAAATTAAAATACCAAATTGAAATTCAAAATTTAAAGGACATATCTTCTCCAAGGAAGATTATTATTATGCGTGCAACCATATTTGTAACATGCCTTAATTGACTCAAATATTCGGTGATAAAGCGTTGTCTTATCTGTCGACGGCCATGAATTCTTTTCGGCAATGTACGGACCTTCGGAACGGTACAAGTCATATCGAGATAAGTCTAATTATCAAAATCGTCTGAAAGGTGGAGCGATAAACCCCTGAAGTAAAAAGAGAGAGGCTCATCAAAATCGAACACCTGTAATATACGCGATAACGACTTGTAGTTTTCCGTGTTACCGAGAAACATAATCTTTCCCCATAATTCGTCAAATTTTTATGTTTTCAGTGACGTGATTGTTTTCATATGACTGTTCAACGTTTAACTAATTAATCTTACGCAAGGTAAGAGGAATTTACAGTGCGCGTGTGTCAATAATTTGCTCTGAATCTACACAAAAGGTTTTTACAACCTTCTGGGCTTGCGTAATTTACAAATTGTATTGTCACGATAAACTTTCCTAGGTTTACATACATAATAATGAATCAACTGTTATCTGTGCGACTATTAAATGGGAAAATGTAATTCTTAGTTGATTTGCAAAAATGTAAAATATTAACAGTGCGACTATGTATTACAAATAAGGATTGCCTTATGCTTGGTTGTTATTTCGAGAGCCTCGGTAATGCTCCAACAATAAATATTATATATCCGTACAATACGAGTCACGCGAACATCAGTTTAGCCTACTTAATAAGTGCTCTGGATGCTTATTTGTAAAATCATAAAAAATGTCTTTCCATCTTTCATCTAAATATTTTTGGAAAATATAACACCAAGGATACCGTGAAACGATCACCTGTCTTTTTAATCCCCTTCAAAACTAACACTAATTATATCGAATTAACTCTCCAATTTAATTTCTTTATAATATTAAAATAAATGAAAAATTTGTATCGAATAGTACATTTATATTCTACTTCAATTTCTTTATAACTTTACACCAAGCGTTAATATTATATTAATTTTATAAGGTACCAAATGCAAGGTTTAAATTTGAGGACGTAATCTAAATTATTACAATTATATCGTGGAATGCCACACACGTCCGTTTTCACTGCGGCAATCAACGTGTGAATATTATCTTTACTTCATTCACCGGCAAATGTCCACGACGGTCTTTCAATCCGTAGTGAACGTGTTAAAATCCAAACACTATCACGTTTAAAAAGCGCATGTGATACCTTATACTAATTTCACTCGAAAATAAATAACGTTCTTACCTTTCGTATTTGACTTGCATAGAATGAGCGGAGTTGTCCTCCCAATAATTCTGTGTCTCCATCATCTTGACGCATAGAATCGTTTCCGGCGCACAACACGAACACTTCCGATTTCCCGTGCCTACCACCGTTATATTCCTCTCCTTTCTACTCTTTTTCTAACACCGGAATCGTCGAACTTCCCTCGTTAGATCCACCTTCGAAACACGCACATCGACGGATCAATTCGTCGCGGTTGAGCGCGAAATCGAACGATACGCACCAACGAAAAAAGAAACGGCGAAAAGTGAACCAGAGGATCACGCGCGCACAGCAAGTAACCGAAAAAAATAGTCGACTTCTCTTGAAACCGATGAGCTCCTTGATCGATAGTGCGCCACAGAACCGACGACTAGGTTAGGTTCGCCTCCACAAACTCACTGACACACTCGTAACGACACGACAGACCAGGAGGCCGGTACTTGGGAATCGCCCACGTCTTTCCGTCCAGTCACACTCACCGATATATCTGTACTGGCGCCCTCTTCTTTTCTCCTTAGTCTTCCTTCCTGTTTCCTAATTTCTCCTTTTTTCTTCCAGAATCAAATCGATTACCGATCGATCTCGCGTTATCCCTTGCCACAAGTGTAACCGGTTAATCCTCGAAGCCAGATCAATGTCCATGCATCGAGGAGCGTTTCCTCGTAAACAAAACGATAACGAGGGACGTACGGTTCGATCCTGAGACATAAATGCGAGCGACGATAAGGCCGTTGACTTGTTCGACCGCGAAATTCCACGATATACTAACCGGCAGGGCCGTAGAATTGAACGGGCCGCGCGTTCATTTGCGCGTCAAACTATCCGCCACCTATGGACGCCTCTTTCGTTCGGGTGCATGCGCATGCACCTCGGAAATTTCACGCGGCAATTCGCGGCGACGCCACGGATGTTCTGAACCAATGATTAACCGAGAACGAGATTCAATCCGTCGATCGTTTGGCGCGCACCTTTTTTTGAATTTCGCGCCACCTTGCTCTGTGTAGTCACGTGACTCGAAATTCGAGCAAAGACAATCGCGTGCGTCCTTTTTAGCGGTGTGTGCGTGGAGACGCGTATAAACGCGTGTCGTTTTCTTGGCAAGATACAGTGCGCGTATAATGCACGGCCCTGTTCGCGATGGGCCGCGGTGTGGCATGCGGACTATTGGTGGGAGCGATCCAGAACCGTCCCAGGCACGGAACCATCGATCCTGGAGCCACGCAACTCAGGGCCCAATTGATACCGTTGGATTTTGCTTCGCGCGGGATACGATCTTACAGGTACTTTATCGATCATGCTACTGAATTTATCGAAATCGTTCCACTGAACTTAAAACGCGGTATCATTGGAATTGATAACCGGGCGATTAGTTACGTTGCTTCATTTTGGTAAAATACAGTCTGTTTCACGAGAGCGTCCATGTTAGATCTGTATAGGTTATGTTATGGGTTAACGTAAGATATCTAGCTATTATTTATTTTTATGGCGAATTCAGTACGATTATAAACTTGTTATAAGAAACTTGTAACTCATGTTTATGTGTGGTGCGGTTAAATTATAACAAAAATTGTAAGGTTTTGGCGCCAATATTTTAATGCTAAGAAACAGTACTAAATGAAATTAAAAAGCAGCAGTACTAAATGAAATCAAAAAACTGTACAAAGGAATTACGGTAATTACAGATTTTTTCATAGTCGTTTTATCTTGTGATTGTGCACTATATTTTAATGAATATATCATCTCAAATGCGAAACTAATAGAAAATGGTTTTTTCTTAAGTATGTTGTACATGCTCTTATGGAATGAACTATATGATGTTCTCATTCGCAGAAACGTAACTATCAAGGTGTATGCGTTTGCAAAGTTTGCGAAATGAAGTGATAAGACAATTTGTTCTAGTCGTATCAGGCGTTGATAACATACTGAGTAGATCGATAAAGTGATCTAGAAATAGCCTCGGCGATACCACGCTCATGTATTGTACAAAAACAAAAACAAAGTAATCTGCATTTTGTATGTGTCGCTTCGATCTGTAGACTCGAATTCTTATTTCGTCATGTGATCGAATGTAAACGTCCCGATAATTTGGAATTTTACGCCGACTTTTGAATCATAAAATGATAAAAAGATAACAAGTCGATCTGCCTGCGTCTACCGTTCCCCGCCGTACCGTGGACGTAAACAGACACGCACGTGATGTTCTCGCATTTAAAACGAACATGGTGCAAGGTAGATATCAGTGAGACGTATCAAATATTCAAGGATCGTAATTTCGCGAAGGCAGTAAACCAAATTACGTACCTCAGCTTTCGACGACCGGTTGATAAGATTCCGCACTTCACGAAATCACCACACGCCGAAGTAACAAGCGTAAAAGTTTCGCTCGTCCGAAACCGATCCTCGACTAAATTTCACGAGCATACACTTTCATCCTTCCGTTTCGATTGGACAATACCCAAAGAGAAACCAGCGCTTTTTTCCTTTCTTCGACCGGACGGACCACGTGTTCACATAACGACTCACGCGACGATGCAAATGCGACCGTCACATCACGAATTCAGCGGGATACAAGAGAACGGTTAGAAGGGCGAGGGTGAAGCGCAACAGGGAAAAATAAGATGGTGAGTTTCCTGGTGAAAGTCACGAAAGGGGAGGGGGCGACATGGGGTTTTGAGACGTTACTGACCAGCACGGCGAGTGGCGAATGCTTGGAGGGGTACGGAAGGTGAGGAACGTTCGGAGAACGTAGAGTTGAACGAAGAGAGGGATAAGAGTTACCACGCTATGTGACACGTGCGCGTGACGTCACAGGGCCGGTCACGCGAGCACCGTGTGCTCCCGGTCACGTGTCCTGTCACGCGCTCGCTCCATCTCCATTCTCCTTGCTCCGTTCTTCACCGCTGCATCCCTACCCTCGTTACCTTTTATTTCTCGTTGCTTCTCCTCGTCCGTTCTCGATTGCGGTCTACGTGCCTCGACGCATTCAGCCCGGATAAAGCCTTAAGGCTTCGTATCAAACCGGGTTAACCTGCCGTACGAATGATGCCTTAACACATTCGACATGAATAAAACCTTCGACCAATGAATGCCGTCGGATCCTTTAACCCTTGCTGGACAACCGGCTACAGCCAAGAGCAAATCTGACCTCCACAAGAAACATATGGCTGCTGGGTAACAACCTGCTCATCGACTTTTAGGGATTTTTGGGAACTACAAGTTTAGGATTGGGTGGAACTTTGGGGACATAGGACTTTGGGGGTTTTGAGGTTTAGAAACTAGGATTTATTAATATGGGATTTTAGGAATTTGATGACATAAACATTTAGAGATGAATTTGATAATCCAGGAGGAGATCTATTAATGTGATCTATAGAGATTTGACAATCTCAAAATTTGGAGATCTAAGAGTTTGGAGACATACGAATTTGAGGATCCAGGAATTTGGGGATCTATTAATATGAAAATATAGAAACTTGGCGGTCCATAAATTTGGGGACGAATCTGAAAGGAATTTGGAGCAAATGTTACTGCAAACTTGTATTTAAGGAACTTATAGTAGCTTTACTGACAAAAATATGGTACGAGGAATCATAATTATAGACACTACTAATCATTCCCCTATTTTTATTTATGAAATTATCTTAATAATTGTCCTAATTAAAATCAGTCATAAAAATTTTAAGTGCTTTGATTATCCAGCGCTGATGTTTTATTAATATAGTTATTTCCTCAATTTTTTCTGTTCTTATATCCACGTCTAGAGTCATCTAAAAGGGCCCGGCCGCATATAATGAAATTTGCATTACAAAGTGTAAAGCGTTCAATTTCATACCTAATAATGTATAAAGAGTCGGGTCAGAGGCGTTACGGAAATCGGGGTTATACCTTGTTATTGATATAGCGATTTAAACGCGTGCAGCATGCGGCTTTAAATAGTTAAATTACCATTACTTTGAATAATGTATACTATAACTACGCTTAGCCGAGTGGCAAGCTTCATAAATAAGGTCGTTGGATGTGTGCATTATTAACCCTTACTTATCACACTCTGTGTGATATTCGCAGGCTATTCCAATAATATCTCGTATTGTAAAAGAGCTAGAAATGGAGTAAACCTGCAAAAATAAAATTTGATATTTCTGTTAGTAACCTTCTATAGCAATCATGTGCTCAAAATTGCTGGAGGAATTATCTTGTATATGCTATGTCCAGTGTGGCAAGGACATATTAAAAATTGATCAATTACTTAATGACCCTATTTGAAAATTTTCATATATCTCAGTTTAAAGATTTGTACACCTTTACATAATTAAAAAATTTGAAAGTATGAAAGTTTGTAAATCTGTAAATTTGGACATGAAAAAAATATCTGGAAATCTGAAGAAAATCTGTATATTTTAATTCTTACGATTTTGAAAGTATTTAAATTTGAAAATTGAAATGTTTGTGAATATTTGTGTGGTAAAATGGAGGAGCGTCAGTGGCAGGAAAATGGAAGTCACGCGCCGTAGAAGACAGTTGATCTGCCCATTGCCCATCGTTGATTTAAGTGACATACTATTCCCGTTTTACAGATCACCTGCGAAATCTAGATCTCGTTTCTACCCGATCACGAACGATTATACATTTGACCATCTATATTAAAGTCGAGAATGTACTTCGAATAGAAAGAATGCAGCTAACGACGTGGTTTTACTGAGCGAGATTTACGCATTACGAAACATTTTTATGACGTTGAAATCCACAGACGGACTAGAAAGTACAAGCATTTGTGATTATGTAAACCTGCAACCTGACAGGACGAGTAATTTCGAGACGAAATCGCGATCAAGTTAGCAAATAAACAGTAAATGCAACAAGGGAGAAGTATATAAATCTTTCGCTTTCGAGCAATTTCTCGGGGAACGAAATTCAACATTCGAGACACGTGTCGCCGACTGATAACTCCTGAGAACTCGTGCATTGTTCCAGGAAAATTAAACTTCAGTCGTCATTGTTTTGTAACGTTAAATTGTTTGAAAGACTATGAAAGACTTCGGTGGAATGAAAGACTTAACGTATCTAACATTGACATATGTACATCATATGTAGATGTCTGTTGATACATAATAGAGTAAAGTTATGCTGGAAGTTTCATGAGCAGAACTTGTATATATATAATTTTATTTTTTTTTTTTAGGAAATTAATATGCTACATGTTGTAAATAAAGAACACATTATTCTATAAATTAATTAACGACTGAATCACCATTCGAGGAAAATTTAGACCCCGTTAAGGCATATTCCACCGTTTCGAAATCCGTGAAATAAAAAATTTCTAAATTCGCAGATTCGGGAATTTGAAAGTTATAAAATATGAAAGTTGAAGAATTAAAAGATCGTCAGCCTCGTGCACGTATGCGTTATCTCGAGGTATCTTAACTAAGCGTACGTGAGCACAAAAGCAACATGTTGTGCTAATATATTTACCAAATAACGTACATATTGTACTTGAACATTTCACGGCAGAAAGCGAACTTTTTGGCTCGTTCCCTCTTTAAAGCGAACTTGACGTATGCGCCGGTACGCGCGTAACGCGACCGATTCGAAAATAGACGTCTTATTTTCTGCACGGCACGGGAGAAAATAAACGCAATCTGTGGCAACTTGTAGTTATTCTCGATCTGGTACATCAACTGCACGTCGCGGTGTCTCGTGTCGACTTCTAATCGCCTTGCCTGTTCAAAAACGTAATACTGGTAGCCAGTTTGAAACAAAAACGCCTCGGTACGAGCAACGCTCGATAGGGCGTTCGTTATCGTGGTCAGATCTTTAACCTTTGATTCCGGATTCTGTCACGAGACTCGGGCAATTTAAATTCCTTCTAGAGCACTCGACAGATTCCCCTTTGAGCCGGGATCAAATTATGCATCATACAGTGGCCGTGTACCACCATACGCCTACGTGACTTTTAGATAGAACGACCACCACGGATGGACTCATGTCAATGAATATTCAACCGTATTTTGCATGTTTTCATCCCCGACATTTTATACTAGGATTTTCATACTCGTCAATGCAAGCCAGTTGCAACACGGTTAATTAAAAGTTATTTGGTTTGGGGATGCTTCAATGTGGGTCGAGCTTCAATTTCATAAACAGTAAATTGATATTCGGTATTCTTTCTTACCATCATTCAAAAATTTAAAACTTCTTTAAAAATTTACACAAACATTCTAAACATTCTACAAACATTTTAAAATTTGTATACATTTATTCTCCAA